GTAAGTCTTGGTCACTAAACAGTGGCGATTGACCAATATTCTAAAAAGGCAGAACCCTACTTGCTCAGATTAGGATATTTTTTATGCGGTCCCCATAGATCTGCTACCTCCTAAATCAAACAGAGCTATTTAGTCATATAATGATCATTTCTATAGAATTAAGCAGACCAGTCGTACTTAAACTATTAATAACTTTAAATAATCACTATACTATCTAAATAGTATTATAAGTTTTACAGGTGAAGGACTATCCCCTTAGATATCCTTTTACAGTCTAAGTATACATGAATTAATGCCAATGTGTTAGTCGGAGCTCTAAAGACATCGTATAGTGTGCCGCAATGATCCGTCTACCGTGTTTTAGTCCGCTACTAACCTGTACAGGGGCTTGTGGTGTTATGAAACTACCACAATCTACTAGAGATAATAACATGAACTCTGTTTGAATAATTCAAAACATAACAATTTATTAGTCAGGTAAATGTGTATTATGCCAAATTCATTCAGTCAATTCATAAACGATCAATAAAGACATCAAGTTATCAAAGATAAATCCAAGATTAAATGATGCATTCCTGACTTCAAAATATACATAACATGGAGGTTATGGTTCACAGTGGTTCAAAAGATGCCTGAAGTTATATATTTATTGTTTTGATTATGTCTATTTCTGAGAGAATGAGACCATTGTACTAGTCGCACTGAGACATTTCAAATGATATCAAACATGATAGATAAAGTCACTTGGGTTAATTTAAAACATTCAGACATTGAAATGACCATATGTGTGAGGTGGGGTGGTTGAAGTCGAGTTTCAGCGGATTCACATGTAAATGTAGCGGGAACTGGTTCTTTCTCGCATTCCCACCTGCTGGGTTGTGAAGCCAATTGTCTCTGTTTTCGGCTCATGTTTGAATTGTCAAAGACATCAAAGTATTTGTAATATCTCAATTCTTACACTCACATTGTCCTGAAACCCTGGCCTGGATATGTTCCCAAGGTTTCTAACTCTTTGTGTAGTTTCTATCCCGTTGTTGTTTTTGTTTTGTCTATCTTTGTGTCTTTTTGTCTTTTTTCCCAGATTTCGGGATTATAAGTTAACATTTTTAGTTTTTTTTATAATATTTTATATTTGTTTGTTTCTTTATACTCAAGCTTAAAGTTACTGTTTAATGTTTTCTTCGTGTAATTTCTATATCATTGTCGTTGTGTTGTTGTTTTGTCTTTTTTGTGTCTTTTTGTCTTTTTGCACAGATTTTGAGGTTAAAAGGTAAACTGTTTGGTTCTGTGTTGGCTGAGTAAGTTGGGATGTTGTAGGTGGGCCATCATTTACTCAGCCATTGTATCTTGATATTTTCTTCAAGCACTTTATATATAGTTCTTCACTTTTTGTCTCTTTATCAAGTTATTGCGGTTACAATGTTATTATGAACATTTTCTGTGTTTTTCTTTGTGCTATTTGTTGTTTGTTTCTTGTTGCCCAAGCTTAGTGTAACTAGTCGTTGTTTTCTTTGTGTAGTTGTTGTTGTTTTGTCTATTTTTGTGTCTTTTTTTTTTTTTTTTTTTACCAGATTTCGGGATTATAAGGTAACATTTTCTGTTCTTTTTTTAATGTTTGATATTTGTTTGTTTCTTTATACTCAAGCTCAATGTTACTGGTAAATGTTTTCTTTGTGTAGTTTCTATCTAGTTGTTGTTGTTTTGTCTTTTTTGTGTCTTTTTCTCTTTTCACACAGATTTTGAAATTAAAAGGTAAGCTTTTTGGTTCTCTGTTGGCTGAGTAAGTGGGGATGTGGTGGGTGGGCCATCATTTACTCAGCCATTGTATCTGGATATTTTCTTCAAGCACTTTATATATAGTTTTTTACTTTTTGTCTCTTTATCAAGTTATTGAAGTTACAATGTTATAATGAACTTTTTTTTTTTTCTTGTTGCTCAAGCTTAGTGTAACTAGACGATGTTTTCTTTGTGTAGTTGTTGTTTTGTCTATTTTTGTGTCTTTTTTTTTCTTTTTTCCCAGATTTCGGGATTATAAGGTAACATTTTCTGTTCTTTTTTTAATATTTGATATTTGTTTGTTTCTTTATACTCAAGCTCAATGTTACTGGTTAATGTTTTCTTTGTGTAGTTTCTATCTTGTTGTTGTTTTTCTATTTTTATGTGTCTTTTTGTCTTTTTACCCAGATTTTGGGAATATAAGGTAACATTTTCTCAGTTGTTTTATTATGTTTGAAATTTTTTTGTTTCCTAATACTTAAGGTCAATGTAACTGGTTAATGTTTTATTTGTGTAGTTTTTATCTTGTTGTTGTTGTTGTTTTGTCTTTTTTTGGGGGGGATCTTTTTGCCTTTTTACCCAGATTTCAGGATTATATGGTAACATTTGATCAGTTTTTTTTTAAATAATATTTGATATTTGTTTGTTTCTTTATACTCAAGCTCAATGTTACTGGTTAATGTTTTTTGTGTAGTTTCTATCTCGTTGTTGTTGTGTTGTTTTGTCTCTTTTTCTCTTTTACACAGATTTTAAGGTTAAAAGGTAAAATGTTTGGCTCTGTGTTGGCTGAGTGAGTGGGGATGTGGTGGGTGGGCCATCATTTACTCAGCCATTGTATCTTGATATTTTCTTCAAGCACTTTATATATAGTTTTTCACTTTTTGTCTTTATCAAGTTTTTGAGGTTGCAATGTTATTATTAACGTTTTCTGTGTTTTTCTTTGTGTTATCTGTTGTTGTTTCTTGTTGCCCAAGCTTAGTGTAACTGTTGTTGTTTTCTTTGTGTAGTTTGTATGTTGTCGTTGTTGTCTCTCTTTGTGTATTTTGTCTTTTTACACAGATTTCGGGATTATAAAGTAACAATTTCTCTGTTCTTTTTTGCAATAATTGATATTTGTTTGTTTCTTTATACTCAAGCTCAATATTATCGGTTGATGCTTCTTTTGTGTAGTTTATATGTTGTTGTTGTTGTTTTCCCTTTTTGTTTCTTTTTACCAGATTTCGGGATTATAAGGTAACATTTTCTCAGTTATTTTGGTTGTCTGTTGGCTGAGTGAGTGTGGATGTAGTGGGTGGTCCAGCCTCTCATTGCTGTGTCCCATTCAGTAGCTCCACGCCTAGGTAGACAGCTCTGTCTGTTTTGTCGGCAAAAGGGAAGTTCTGTACCCAAACTGAGGTTGACCCACTGGATTGTGGATGCCACCATCGTTGCATTTCATACCCAAGGCAAACCGTTTCTCCTGGGAATGAGAACACACTCAAATAAGATTGGCGCCTCCTCCTGGCCATAGCACATATAGCACTTTTCTAAGAGACATCTGTGGATCTGCAGGCTGTCAATCAGCATTCTGGGGATGGTGGCTAATTGTCATCAAATACTTAGCCATGATGTATTGTTTGTTTTCTTGCATGTCAGTTTAAGTGCTTTATTTTCAGGATTTTTGCAAAGCTCTTCACAATGCATAATAATCATAAAAAAAATGATGTTTTTTAGGTATTTTAGATAATTCAATATAAACTGTCTCTAGAGTAGCTCTGCGGATCGTTCCGGCTTTTATTTAAAGGGTAGAGGATCTAGAGGCATTTTTGGGTAGCAGATATTGCCTGGATTACAGTCCAAAGCTAGGAGGCAGATTCAGCCTTCCTTACTGAGCTCTTACATGGACAGCTCTTCGTCAGGTTTGTCGGGCAGAAGGTAAGTGTTGTACCCTTACAGAGGTTGACCCACTTTAATACTGATTCCACCACCCTTGCGTATGTGTTTGTTTTCATGCTTGATTTTCTTTTTTTTCTTAGGATTCTTGCTGGTTTTGCTATATTTGGTTTTCTCAAAGTTAAGCATTTTATTCTTATCGTCAGTGCTGCTGCTGATGATGTTTTTTTTTTTTTTTTTTGGAAGAAAGGTACAACAGAAGATATTTAAAAAAATCCTCAAAACTTGTAACCATTGACTATTAGAGTATTAGTTTTCAGCTTTGGAAGTTGATGGTTACAGGTTTTCGTCCATCTGAGTGTTTAAGGGTTGAGGGCCATCTAAAAATTAGAGAATTTAACAAGTCCATATTACAATACAACCACTTTTTCTCTGCAAAAAGGAATTTCACAGCTGTGATAAAACTGTTTCTCTTCTCATATAACTGTAATGTTGAAGCTTCATGGTTTCTGATTGAATCCAGTGGACCAAACATATGTGGACCTTAACAAAATAAATAAAATCATAAACAAATATGTTGTTGTCTTGTTTTTTCTTATTTAATAAATATGAAAATAGTTGATGTGTTAACTAACATGAACAAACAACAAATTTATAGTAAACATTAACAAAAATTAACCGATGAAACCGTTTAGCAAAGTGATTTATAGGGTTAACTAACCTTTGTCTCCCTCTGCTGTAAACCAACTACATTCATGCATGTGTTGATCATAATATATTCCCCACAAGGAATTTACCAAGGCTTCATCTATAAACATTTATTTGTGGCAGCTTGTTAACAACAACAATAATAATAATGTATTTATTTTATAATGACTTTAGTCGGTCTTAAAATTGGTGTTTTTTCCCCAGTCTGTTTACAACAGATTCAGGTAGCATAGAAAGGTTTATAGTAGATTTATTTTATTAATGCTCCTCAAAACAGAAAATAGAACAATACTAGTGAGAACAGAAAAAATGTATAAATAAAATAAAAATAAAGTATAAAATTATTATACACAATTAAAGACAGTAAGGGTCTGCTGATTAGAATCTTCAAGATTTTTATACGGCTTTTTTCGTAGTATTGTGCCTAATTGTTTATATATATATATATATATATATATATATATATATATATATATATATATATATATATATATATATATATATATATACATAAAATGTTCCAAAGCTTTACGTCTAGCAAAAAAGGGGGTTTATGGTTATTAAATTTGTATCGATGAATTTTATAGCAGATCTAAAGCTCTTGTTGCAGAACGTTTGTGCGTCACGTTGCCGGAAGTTCCGGCAGAGCAGGACGGAAGTAGGTACGTGGCTGCTTCAGCTGACATTCTGCACGATGGCGACAGAGGTTCAGAGCGGCGACCTCAACAGTGCAAATTCAAGCCGGCTCGAAGTTTCTATCGACGGTTTGACTTTAAGCCCAGACTCCGAAGGCGAGCAGGAGCAGGCCGAGACGCCCGATGGCCAGTCGGCGGAGCAGAGCCACGAAAACCCTGAGCAGAGTGTCGATGGGGAGGAGGGCGAACCTACCAGCAGCGCTAATATCGAGAGGAAATGGGGCTTTGCTTTAGTCGAGCTCTATGGGCTGGCGCTCAGATTCTTTAAAGGTATTTTCTATCATTATATACACCATTAGGCTCAATGAGTGTACACGCGTTAGCAATGTCATCTGGTGTTATACGTTACAGAATAATCTCGAGCTCGAGTTATTGATGTCACGATCTCCCCATCAGGGTCTTGTCATCAGTTTCAGTTATCGCTTTTGGTTTAAAGTTCTGCTTGTAACTTAGTTCATTTGAGTCTTAGTGTTCAGGTTTGAGGACTTCTAGAGGAACATCTCTGTCTGTTGACAGCAGCACAAACGTTACTGTACGTTACGTGTCATGTGCCTGAACGATGGCTGTAAATCACAGACAGGCTAACGTTATATGAAAGCGTGCATCAATATTCACAATACACTAACGTAAGTGCTAAGGTAACTTAACGTATTGAGGTAAAGTTCGTTCTATATTCGTGCGTTCGTTCATTAGCATGCTAAGTTAATTTGAATATTTCGTCTGAAATCGCATTTAAATGACTTCAAAACAACATTAGCACTATTTAATTGACTGTGACAATGTTGTATCTTGATAGTCATTGGCTGCTATTAGGATTTCACTATTTAAAATGGGCAAATAATACTTTCCGAAATTATATTATTAAGGATAAAAGTCCGAATGTGCGAATATGAAACCAACTTTACCTTTAACCCTCTGTCAGCGTCAATAGTTTCTAACAGCAGAACTGACAGGAGCCAGGGTTGTGTGTTTTGTTCCAGCACTTGTGTTTTCCGTCTGTTAAAATATTTAGTTCTTAGTTTCCACAAGTCTACACCCATTTCTTGTTTGTGGGCTGATGAGTCCAGCATGCGTATGTGTCCATCAGCTCTGTAGTCTGTTAAGTGCTACAGCTCACTAATTATAAACGTTAATGTACAACGGATGCTCCGTTCTAGATGTTTCAGATTCCGGCTGAGCAGCGATGCTTCTTGAGTATCATTTGCTTGTTTCAAAGTAAATATGGACAGCTAATTATTTATCAGTGAACTTAAATTAAATAAATATTGTAAATGATATTGTTATACAGTTAGCCGTGCAAATGGGGTTTGTCATTTAAGTTAAAGATACAAATATATAAATCAAATAAAAGCCTACTCAAGATGCAGCAGATATTTTTCTACAGTGGAACATTAAATAAATTGTTCTGCTGAACCATGATCTCGACCACTTGCACTTTGAAAGTTTAAAAGCATGCTTTATACAGGGAAAGCAAAGCAAATACCCAAGCGTCTTCATAACTGTCTGGAACACAAGCTTCCTGTTAATAAATGATGTGTCCACAGATGCAAATTTGACCTTTAGACCATATGCCGAGGCTGTGGATTAAAGTTAAATAAAAAGTTAAATGATGTTCAGTTTCCTGCACAAAAAATCGTTTCGCTGCATAAAACCTCAATGTATCTTTCTGAGGATACCCCTGGCTCATATTCTGAGGTAGACCTGAATGGAAAGTGAGGGGTGTCATGGCCCTTTTATCTAATTGCTCATCAAATAAAACATTTCAAACCATTTTAGCAGTTGATGAGTTAAAATAGTGTCCCTACAGTGCTTTTATTTTTAATTTGCAAATATGTCCTTAAAATAGTGTGTAATTTACTTGGAAAATAAAAGTTGTTAAGCCTGGACATATTTGTTTGTAACAAAATCCAATATAATCTGTGCCACTACTTTAGGAGCCAGGGGTATCCAATTGTTTTGGCAGTATATGTTGAATCTAGTTCATTAAACAGCTCATTATAGTTATTCAACTCAAAAATATAGTCTAAATAATAACCCATTGCAAATATACTATATATAATATATAATATATATTATATAATAATATATAATATTATATAATATATAATATATATTATATACTATATATAATATATAATATATATATTATAAAAATATAATATATATATATATATATATATATTTTTTTTTTTTTCTAATGTAATGACAACCTGTTTCAGTATTAAACATTATATGTTTGCAATGTTTTCCCTCAGAGAAAGATGGGAAAGCCTTCCACCCGACCTATAAGGATAAACTCCGTCTGGTAGCCCTCCACAAACAGGTGTTACAGGGCCCTTACAACCCAGATGCTTCCCCTGAAGTGGGCTTCTTCGATGTGTTGGGAAACGACCGCAGGTCAGCATGAGGTTTTCATCTTTGACCTTACACTGTCTCCTTGTTGTTCCCATTAGCAATTTTGATCAAATAATTTACTGTATTATTACCATGTTTATGTTTCTCATGCTTTTTAAAAGTACTTGAATTTCAGAAATATGGATTCTAGCTTAAGTGTGGAATCTAGCTTAGAAATGTGGATTCTAGCTTTCTACCTAAAAACAAACATAGGTCCCTGAAAGTGCTTGCAATAAATTTGAAATGAAATTTGTTTATGGTGTTCTTCATTTAAAAATCTTAAATTTAAATCTTGTACAAGAACTATGACAAATAATGCACGTTTAAATATTACCACCATTTAATTCAACATGATTTGAGCGCAAAGATAAATTAATATAAGTTAATTTATGTAACCATATACACTGATTCTGCACATTTGACTGATGCTTGCAAGTACACCGTTCCCCTTAAATATTTACCCATCGTGTCCTCGGGAGTTGGCTTTCCATATCAAACTTGCGAAGTCTCAACTTACAAGGGAAGGATGCAAGACTGTGTGTAGGCTACTAATTCTTGAGGAAAAAGCCCCAACCCGATCGGCGAATGTCTGCAGCCAAGCCACCATTTTCAGATATCTCTGTTTTCCCCCATCCACACTAACACGGAGCAACAGCATTTTAAAATGAAATGGCATTTTCTAAACGCTATGTTTTTGGTGCTCAAAACTCCAGTGTAGTGTGAGCGGATGGCGTAACCGTAGGAAAACGTATGCGTTTTACAAAAAAAGCGTATTAGTGTAAATGGGGCCTTAGTCTTTAAGGATATCTATAAGCTAGTATGGTACAAAACAATGACAAAACTTGCATTTAGATGAAATCTTAACCAATCAAATGCTCTCTAGTATCTGACCTGCCCCGCAACCCTTCAAGACGCTTATCATTTGCTTTTCATTAGATGAGCTCGAGATCCACCACTGGCAGGGTTGTGATTAAACAAAATACTATTTAAGGGGAGGAGCTACTCTATGCCCCACCCTCTCTTCATTATTCAGTTGAGATTACGTCAAACATCGAATAAAAAAACTGCACATTTCAAAGCACTTCACGGGACCTTTAAAGTTCCTTTAAAGTTACTTGAACAGGACTGTTTAAAATGGTCACATCTTTAAAAAATGACACATTCAAAATGTCATCATTACTCAGACATTTTAATGTAAATATTAAGCGCACTTGAAATGTTGAGTAAGGACTTTCATGGCCGTACATATGCTGGTGGTGTAAATCACAAAGGTGCTTGATTTAAAATTTAACAGTGCTGTAAAAAGTCCTTTAATCTGCTGTTCATGAAAGAGTAGGAACCTTGCGTGTTACTAAATGCAGGAGAAATGAGTCTTTGAGCACTACTAAAGTGTTGTCTCTGAGCTGTTTTTAGATGCTGTTCAGTGTATAAACTCAATGCATTAAAGGTTATTTATTCAAATAAGTCAAATTGTTTTGGTTTTTAAGCCATTTGATTTTTAAGCCAATGTTTTATCATCATTCAGCATAGCAGATCAATCTGCCAAAATGAAACCACATACTCAATCTTATCTGCCTTTATTAAAATACATTTGAAGTCAGAATTATTAGCCCCTTTTTGATTTTTTTCCTTTTTGTGTCTTAAATGATGTTCAACAGAGCAAGGACATTTTTACAGTATCCCCGATAATAATTTTTTTCTTCTAGGGAAAGTCTCATTTGTTTTAATTAGGTTTTTAATTTTTTAAACGCCATTTTAAGGCCGAAATTATTAGCCCCTTTAAGCTATATTTTTTGGTAGTTTACAGAACAAACCATCAGTATACAATGACTTGCCTAATTACCCTAACCTGCCTAGTTAACCTAATTAACCTAAACAGGGCTCGACAATAAGGACTGCCCGATGGCCCGGGGCGAGCGTGCGAGACGCTCGGGCCAGTGTACGGAATGTTACTGGCCCGATCGGGCCAGTGCTGCCTTGTTGCCTGCCAGATCGGGCCAGTGCTGCCTGCTGCGACTGTCTGTCAATTGTGTGCAAATACAACCTTGGGCTGCTTTCACACATAGACGTTTGTTTCGGAATCTGTCTCGTTTTCCCCGTTAGCGCGGTTTGTTTGGCCTATGTGAATTTAGCTATTGAGCTCGCATCCGTGCCAAATCAATCAGTCCGAGATTGCCTGAATGAGATGGTCTGTGCTCTATTGAGCAGATCGATTGTAGTGAGAAAACAAAACAATGCAACAAACTAACGACCTAGGCTATATCACAGTGTATTATGGTTGTGTAATAGTCATACACGGCTATATGAAGAGAGAATGATGAGCAGGGCGGGATGTCATTTCTGCCGGTAATTGTGCGCTTCATGTCTAATGCGAAAATTAAAGCATGATGAAATATTATTGAGAGCTGTTTATCCGTTAGAAACATTGACCGAAGTTAACATCTGATAATTATTCCATATTTTAATCTTATAATATGTTGTGTTAGGCCAGTTGTTTTGTTCATTTCCGCACTGACAGCTCGAAAGAAAGATCAACATTAATCTGCTTCATGATCTGATGGTAGTCTCGGTTCATATGCTATCTCATTATAATTTAAGCCTATAATGCAGAATTCTAGCCAATGTTTCTTTAATAGATTGATTAATTCAATAGATAAATGGATTTTTACAAAACCTGACAACTGAAATGAGGCTCTGTATAAGAAAGTCTGACCTCTCTGATTTATATTTGGTGACGATGTCTGTGGGTTGTTAAAATTAAAGTGCACATTTTTGCTTATAAATTATTCTATACACAACTGCTCAAAAGTTTGGGGTCAGTATGATTGTTTAATATGTTAAAATAAGCTTCTTCTGCTCACCAAGGCTGCAATTATTTCATCATAAATGCAGCAAAATTGTGAAACGTTACACCATAAAATAACTGTTCAAAAGTAGTTTATCATTTAATTTAATTTATTCCAGTGATTTTAAAGATACATTTTCAGCTTCATTACTCCAGTCTTTAGAGTCACATGATCCTTCAAAAATCACTAATATCAATTATTCATGTTGTAATCATTAATGTTGTTATTATTATTAATGGTAATAGTAATAAAAGCAATAATGTCTGGATGAATCATTTTATTTGAAACTACATACAATAAGAAAGCAGTTTTTTTACTTTTTAATAAATATTTAACAATTTAACATTTTTTACATTTAAAAAACGACGCCTACATGAACTGAATAATTTTCCTTTAAAAAAAACATTTAAAAAATTAATAACTTTTGACCGGTACCGTGAATATATATACAGTTGAAGTCAGAAATATTAGCCCCCTTTGAATTTTTTTTATATATATTTCCTAAATTATGTTTAACAGGGCAAGGAAATTGTGATAGTATGTGTGATAATATTTTTTCATCTGAACAAAGTCTTGTTTGTTTTATTTTGGCTAGAATAAAAGCAGTTTTTAATTTTTTATGAACCATTTTAAGGTCAAATTTTTAGCCCCTTTAAGCTAATTGTTTTTCAGACTGTCTACAGAACAAACCATCATTATACAATAACTTGCCTAATTACCCTAACCTGCCTAGATAACCTAATTAAATAAAACAAAATAACTGTATTGTACTTTTGTTTTTCAATGCTTGAAAATCTCTTTCCCTCTTATACCTAGGCTTGGGCTGGTATAAGATTCTGGTGGTATGACAAACTTGGATAAAAATTTCACGGTATTGTGATTACTGCTCCTAAATGTACTCTTTTTAAATGTATGGGTAAAAAAAATGATCCTTTTTGACACATTATATTTTATTTTGAGAAATATTTTGGAGCAGTAAACATGCCGGGCCAAATTAATTATTGACTTCTGCTGTCTTCGTTTGTTTCAAAAACAGATTTGTTTACAATTTAAAAAGTTGTCTTTTCTGCTGGAGATACTGTTGTCCTAAAAAACAGAAAATGTAAATAAAAAAAAATCATACACTTACCTTAGGAATGGTATTGCAGAAAATTTGGACTGTTTTAAAACCTTGACTTTTTTTAAACCGCAGTATACCTTGAAAACGGTTATCTCATGGCTACTTAGATCATTATGCATAGTGTTTAATAAACGCTATGTTTAAAATCATACTTATCCTATAGTTTTTGTGCTTGTATATATAGGCATCTGTTAAAACAGCTGTCACTTTTTTTGCAGGAAAGAATGGGCATCTTTGGGAAACATGGAGAAGGAGGAGTCCATGCTGGAGTTTGTAAGGCTGCTGAATAAATGCTGCAATTTATTTGCACCTTTTGTTGCATCACACAAGATTGAAAAGGAGGAGCAAGAAAGAAAGAGGTCAGACTTGCAAATAAAGATTGATTTTTTTTTTTCTTTAACAATTCATCAATGGAATTTCTTATTGTTTAAAGGGTCACGAAACACCAAAACACATTTTTTGAGCTGTTGACAGTCGTATATGTGTCCCACACTGCTAAAAACACTATTAAGACACCTATATTTCACTAAAAAGTGTAAATTGGTTGTTTTTGCGTTATTTCAAGCAAATTCGTACTTCCTGTTTGAAACGAATTTTTGAAGCTGCGTCACGGCCATGACATAATAGCCTGTATTCCAGCGTGCAGACTGGACGTCTGTGCCAGAGTGAGTCTTGTTACGTCTTACAGTGTGATGCATTAATGCATGAGTAAGGCTTGGTTCAAACCAATCAGCGCGCTCTATTGTGCAACTTCATTAATATTCATTACTGTGTTTACACGACATAGACGCCACGTTGTGTTGGCAAAACAAGCGTGAAGTGTTGCTTTTATAGTTTGCTGCAGTTAAGTTTCGTTTTCATTTTCTCTCTGTGAGAGCTCAGACTCACGTGTGGATTAACAGTGTACGCGACGCTCGACAACAATAACTTGCGTGTCTAAGGAGGATTATTGTTTACCTGAGAGCTGTTCTCATCTGCAAACGCTGAGATCCGGATTAGCTTGTAGTATTCTCTTCGTAAAAACGCGGCTCTAGTTGCTGGTGATTGTCCTGTCTCTACAGATTTGGTAAGTGAGCGACCAGTGCTCTTTGTTTATTCAGTTTGTTCGTATCGAACTAAGTTAACTATTGCACCGTAACATGTTAGGACCACAACCAAACTTCAACCTCGTGTAGGGTTTTTAACCGCATTTAGTGACCGGAATAACACACGTGGCTTTCTGACGCTACCTGCCGTGTGCATCTAAGTTTCCGGGAAATGCTGAGGTTTTTTTTTCTCTCATTTGCTGTGCGGTATCAAACATTGCATGAAAAATACACGCTTAGAGCAGTTCCTCGAATCAAATATCTCGTTTGTCGCGAGGGGCATGAATGAATTCCCTGAATAAAAGAGCCAAACTGCAGTTAAAGTCCACCATTTAATAATTTGGCAAATAATTCCACTACAGATGTCCATGTAGGTTAAACACCATCACTTTCTACTGTGTGTGAGTATTTTGACGGAAACTCGCGCGTGCCCAAATAGACACTCCCACACCCTCCCACTTTAGTTCCTCCGACACTCCCCCCTAAACAGAGCTGGACACGCCCACTTTTCTGACTTTTACCAAAGTAGAGGTGTGAAAACACCCTGCTGAAACGAGGGGGTTTCATGGCCCTTTAAACCATCAACCTGGTGGGTCTTTTGAGATGCATGTTTTAGAATAATTTACCAGAGCAGCAAAAAGTTATTGGCCTTTAATTAAACAACTTTTTAATCCTGAACTTGTCTTGTTTTTTCTGAGAAGGAGGGAGGAAGAGGAGCAGCGGCGCAGAGAGGAAGAGGAGTATGAGCGATTGCGGCAGGAGGAGGAGAGACGCAGACGTGAGGAAGAGGAAAGGCTGAGGAGAGAAGAAGAGGAGAGAAGACAAATTGAGGAGGAGCGACTTCGTATAGAGCAGCAGAAGTGAGTGGTGATGCTGGTGTTATTTTACATCTTCATTCAAACTTAAAGGGGATAGTTCAGCCAAAATGTCTCTCATCATTTACTCTCCCTTTACTTGTCACAAACCTGTTTGAGTTTCTTTTTTTCTATTTTTTTTTCAACATTAAAGAAGATATTTTGAAAAATGTTTGAAATAACATTTATATAGCACATTTCATACACAATGTAAAATTCAAAGTGCTTTATAAAGACAAGAATAAAAAAAACTAAAGAATTTTTTTTTTATTAAAATGATTAAAAGGAAATTACAAATTTGTTAAAAAATGTTTAAAAGTAAAAATAAAAAGAAAGAAAGCTAGCCATTGGCTTCCATAAAAATTTTTTTTTTGGTACTATGGAGGTCATTGGTTAGAGGTTTCTAACATTCTTTAACATATCAGCTTTTGTAAGAGAAACTCATAAATGTTTGGAATCACTTGAGGGTGAGTAAATAGTGAGTCAGTTTTCATTTGGGGCCAATCTGTTGCTTTAAAGGTAGAATAAATTACAAAACTAGCACAACCTGCTTTGCTGGAGGAGTCATCTCTTGAGTTGCTGAAAGCCAGAGGCAGTCTGCAGAATTAAGGGTGTTGGAGTTAATATAAATAACCTAGCTAATGTATGAAGGGCTGAGATTTAGTTATTTAGTTATTATTTAGTTATTTATTTATTTAAAGCTTCAAATGATTTTATTTAGTTGAAGGATATCAAACATGTTTAAGCATTTAGAGATGATTTTAGGACTTGGACTTAAACAATTTGGGGATTTTTGTGATGGTAACTTGGCTATTTTGTAGTGCCTGTTATGGATAAATATGACACTAAATTTGCCAGTTAAAGATTTATTGAATCATTAGTTTAAATGATTCATTTAGAACAGCTGAAATCGCCACATATACATTTAAATAGTGCACTCTTCAATCCCATGATGCACCACAATAACGAGTGAACAACCTATGTATACTCAGCAGCTAGAAAATAGCCACAGCGGAATCGTATTGGTGTAAGTTTATAAAAATAACCTTGCTTGTTATTCTAAATGACATGGCTCAGCACTTCACCTCCATTGTGTAGTGATCTTAATAGTCTTTGTTGCACATCGAATGCTTTTATACTTGTTTTATAAATGCTATTACTTGTTAATTCCAGCATGTTCATAACTAAAATGGCAAACTCAATATTATCATAGACAATAAATAACACACACACAGACACACACACAATTCTGAATGATGCTTAGTTTGTTCTTTGTAACCATTTGCAATATGGACATGTTATGATGGCTAGTGATCTAAAGTCTGTTTAGAGTAGAATAAAACCAGCCTTGAGGGTTGGACTTTTACCCACATTCTGGCTTTGATGTCTTCTGATGCTAAATCAATACCTCAGGCAACCAAAACGGCCTTGGATGACAGATAAAGTTAAACTAAGGCTATCAACACTTTCAATTATTCAAAACAAATCTCTATAGCTTCAAACTCATGACAGCTGAAAAGCAAGAAAGTGTTTTGCAGCACCAAGTATAATTGATGTTCGCTTCTGTTGTTGAACTCCTAGTAAAGGTTATATGTGTAATTGTGCACTTTAGATTTATTTGTTTTTCTATCTTTCTGGTGTATCAGGCAGCAGATCATGGCAGCACTGAATGCGCAGACAGCGATTCAGTTCCAGCAGTACGCAGCGCAGCAGTATCCTGATAGTCCTGAACAGCAGCTCATCCTCATCCGGCAGCTGCAGGAGCAGCACTATCAGCAGTACATGCAGCAGCTCTACCAGGTGCAGCTCGCTCAGCAGCAGGTGAGACATGCTCATTCTGCTTTTGTGATCTTAATTACAAACTTCCACTTTTATATATCATTTAATTTCAAATTAGGACTTTTTTTTGTTTGTTTAAGATGCATTCATTGGATAAAATTGACTGTTAAGACATTTTATAGTCATTAAAATATTTTTCAAATAAGTGTTTTCCAGTTTTTTAAAATTCTGAATAAAATGTTTGCTGGTTTTCACAAAAAACATTACACCGAATAACTGGTTTTCAAATTAGAAATTATGGGATTGTTTCTTAAACACCGAATTATCATATGTAACCCAGTGTTATGTTGCATGGGCACATTTATTTAATAACCAAAAATACATTGTCTGAGTCAAAATTATCAATTTTATTTTAATGCCAAATTTTTTATTTTTTTTTAGAATACTAAGTAAAGTTAATGTTCCATGAAGATGCGTCATACATTTCCTACTTTATGTATAGATATTTCAAAACTTAATTTTTTGAATAGTACTATGCATTGCTAAGGACTTGATTTGTTTAATTTTAAAAGTGATTTTTTTTTATTTATTTTGTTTTTTTCCAGATTTTTAAACATTGTCCAGTCTTAATAAACTACATCAATGAAAAGATTATTTATGCATTTTAGATTATGTAACAATTACAAACGCGATTTCCAAAAAAGTTGGAACACTGTACAAATTGTGAATAAAATCTCAATGCAATGATGTGGAAGTTCCAAATTTCAATATTTTATTCAGTATAGAGCATAGATGACGTCAAATGTTTAAACTGTGAAAATGTATCATTTTAAGGTAAAAACAAGTTGATTTCAAATTTCTTGGCATCAACACATTTCAAAAAAAGTTGGTGCAAGGCCATGTTTATCACTGTGAGGCATCCCCTCTTTTTTTTTACAACAGTCTGCAAACGTCTGGGGACTGAGGAGACAATTTGCTCATGTTTAGGAATAGGAGTGTTCTCCCTTTCTTGTCTAATACAGGCTTCTAGGTGCTCGACTATCTTAGGTCTTGTCGCATCTTTCTCTTTATGATGCACTGAATGTTTTCTGTTGGGGAAATATGTGGACTGCAGGCTGGCCATTTCAGTACCTGCATGCTTTTGAACTGAACGCTGATAACAACTTGGTTTGTCCCTTTCCTCTTTAGTCTACAGTATTTCAAATGAATCCTGGCCCAGAGAAAACACCTGCGCTTCTAGATCATGTTTAAAAATATAGACTTTTAGTTTGTGACGGCTAATTGACAATGTTTTCTGGAAGTAGGTCTGAGCCCATATTGTGTTTTCCATTATAGTAGCATTCCTGTTTGTGATGCTGTGCTGTCTAAGAGCCCAAAATCACTGGCATCCAGTATGGTTTTCCAGCCTTGACCCTTAAGCACAGAGATTGTTCCAGATTCTCTGAATCTTTGGAATGATATTATGCACTGTACATGGTGTTAACTTCAAACTCTTGCAATTTTTTTCTGAGAAACTGATATTACTCCACTATTTTTTGGCGCAGCATTGGGGAAACTGTTGACCCTTTGCCCATCTTGAACTTTAAAAGACACTGCCACTCTAAGATGCTCTTTTTTTTTACTTAAACATATTGACAAAAGACCTAATAAGTAGAAAATGTATCCTTCTATTGGTAATAAAATATAGGCTTGTCAGATTTGTAAGTTATTGCATTCCTTTTTGGTCACAATTTGTAGAGTGTCCTAACTTTTTTGTAATCTGGAATTTGGAAATGACTCTCATGACTGGTTTAACAAAATAAAATGATTACTGAAAGATTATGAGACTATTATAAGACTAAAGACTGAAATAACTGCAAAAAATATTTTTTTTACCAGTACAAGACAATAATAAATATTATTATGTATTAAGATATAAAGCAGTCACATTTAACATTAAAGATATTACATACCATTTCTGTTCTACAGTATATCAGTGAGTTATTTACAGTGTAATACACTATTGTGTTGGTGTGAATAAAAATACTTTCAAAAGCATGTATAACTGACCCAACCCTTTAAACTGTAGTTTATATGTGCATTAGCTTTGTAATACAGAATTGAGTTATTGGTTGCATTTTAGTGTAGACTTTCAGAAAACACCTGCAACCCGCCAGCTATGAATGACTGGTATAAAGAACTAAACAGCAGTTGGTAGCATTTGTTGTCTAGGTGTGCAGTTGGAAATAGATTATTTTAAACAGTGTAACAGGATTTAATATCACATAATGGACTTTGACTCACTGGTGTTACTTTATTTTGTTACAGTGGTTCTCTTTGACTGTCCACATCGGTTTGAGTGTTGCTGTGCTTATTATACACTTTAGGTTCTAGGTTGCAGATATCCATCTTCTAAATCTGATAAATGGTGTTAGAGTTGACTACTCAAGAAGTTGCTAATTAAAAAAAATATATATATACATATTTGGAAATTGTAGAATGTAACGGCATAATTCTAGACTGATTTTTGGTGTGAATCTTCACTTGCCTCATAATTTGAATTGAGTATAAATCTATTTGTATTTAAATGCTCCATGGCTCATCTTTTCCAATAATCCAGCTTTTTATAGTAGTAATTGGACTACTAAATTAATAATCCCTGTATATTTATTTAATTTTTCTTTGTCATTTGAAAATTTGTAGATGCTAAAAACAGACTAAACTAACAAATAAAACATTAGACAGCAGCAAGTACAGTCATCAAATACATACTGAAATACTCATCATAAAAGATATTTTTGTGTGTACCTGACCATTTAAGTAGTGCCCTCTTTTTTTTTTTTTTTCCTTTCTTTTTTTTTTTTTCAGGCCGCTTTGCAGAAGCAGCAGGAGGATGCTATAGTCTTGTCTACATTAGAGGCCAGTGAGGTGTCAGCACCTTGTGGAGAAGAGGTTCCTACATTGAATGGCCAGGCAGAGTCCACTACTGATAGCATAGAGAGAGACCAGGACCTGGAGCCTGCAGACGAGGTCACTGAAAATGGACCCACTGGTGAGTTTATGGACCTGCTGGTGAATTTGTGTTTTTATAGTTTATTTTTACATATCTTTGTGTGATGTAAACTTGAGAAAAATTGCTTTTGTTTTTTTAAAAAGTGCATTTTAAACTGGTAATCAATGGACTTTGTAAAAAATATATATATTTTGGTATGCAGCATTTTGACAATCCAGTCAAGTAAATGGCTTTCAAATGCTGTTTAATTATGGCTTTTGTTTTTGCACTTGTGTCTGATGCCATGTTTCCAACTGGTATTTAGCATCCTATAATATATATATATATATATATATATATATATATATATATATATATATATATATATATATATATATATTTGTTTTTTTTTTCCTGTTGCATTTCAATGTAACTGTAACATTTCTGATTTAAAACAAAGTTGAGGTTAGGCATCGGCCGATATAAGATTGGGAAAGGGTATGATAACCTTGGATAAAAATATTACTGTTTCACGGTATCACATTATTATGATTACTGCTTTAAAATATATTCTTTTCATATGCCTGGGTAAAAAACTAAAACTTTTCCCCCTTTTAAACGCAATATATTACATTTTGATAAACATTTAAAATACTTTAGAATAAACATGTCAGGCTAAATGAATTATTGACTGTATTGACTGTTTCAAAAACAGATTTTTTTTACAATTTAAATCAACATTTTATATACATTTTCTGCTAAAGATACTGCTGTTAAAAAAAAAATAAAAAAAAAACGTTAATAAAAATTCAAACACATACCTTAGGAATGGTATTGCAGAAAAAGGTTTTAAAACCTTGACTTTTCCAAACCACGATATACCTTGAAAAAAGTTATCGTCCCATGACTTGTTGAGGTTTTTTGCAATTTTTCCCAGATTTTAGTCCCCCTTAAGAGAAATAGACAGGTATGTTTCCAAATAATTTAACACCAAAGCTGGGTTTAATTATCTCACAATTGAATCATTTAAATACCTTTTACACTTGTGCATTTTAGTTTTAAAATAATGCTTTTATTGTTTATTTTTATTGTGTTTGGGATATGTGTCCATGTGCATATATTGCTAGCTTCTGTGCTTGCAGTTTACTACTTGTGCAATTGTCACATGAGAGGGGCTTGGCAATAAGGGGTTGATGTGCAATAGGCCAGAAGACCAATCTGAGAATGACTGTCAATAGGTATGGCATGATAACTGGTTTTAAGGTTTACTGTGGTTTGGAAAAGTCAAGGTTTTAAAAATGCCAACATTTTCTGTAAACACGTCTAATGGTATTTTTAAAAGTATTTTATGTGTTTTTGCAACTGTCATTTAGTTGTTGTTTTTTTGTTGTTGTTTTTTAGAGCAACAGTATCTTCACAACAAAATCTTCACAACAAAAGATAATGGTCAGCCCACGATTCAGCTAACACATGCTATAGAGCTGAACAGTGCAGAGGCTTTACTTTATATACAAAGAAAAGAAAGATCTCCAAAGATGTAAAGAAATCGTTTTTTTTGAAACTAATGAAGACAGCAGAAGTCAGTGAATTAGTTTAACTAATTAGCTTGACATAATAACTGTTGCAAAATAATTCAAATGTTATTCAAAATTAAATTTATTATTTTCGAAGATGGCTGAGAAGTGTGTATGCAAGGCATAACAATAACAAATCTTGTGCGTTTTAAAACGAAAACCCACCTGTGTAATCGGCATCTAAATGTGTGTCAACACCCAACCACTTGTTTAAGATACTCTTAAAAAAAATTGTCCATACTGACTCTTATATCATATTTCTGCTTCTCAGACTCTCCTCCTGTAATAGCTGCCCCCTCCATGTGGACCCGGCCACAGATAAAAGACTTTAAAGTTAAGATCCGGCAGGATGTGGACTCTGTGATCACTGTGGGACGGGGGGAAGTGGTGACTGTCCGGGTCCCAACACACGAGGAGGGCTCCTATCTCTTCTGGGAGTTTGCCACCGACTATTACGACATTGGCTTTGGGGTCTTCTTTGAATGGACTGACTCTACAAATGCTTCAGTCAGCGTGCACGTCAGCGAGTCTAGTGACGAAGAAGAGGAGGAAGAAGGTGAGAGATATGTTTGTGCTATAGTAGTACCATATCAGTTATCAGCAGATACCTGTATTGGATATGCTCACTTTAAGTAGATTTTTAATTAAAGGTGCTGGATGTAAGTTTTTGAATCTTCTAAAGCATTAAAAATACCTTATTATGTTTACAGATATTTGAGAAGCATGTTAAGTGAACATTTTTGTTTATTTGAAAACCTATGCTGAAATCTGTTGTTCTGCTTTTAAAATGCGAGTTACTATTTCGTCTTTGTTTTGGTCATTTAACCCACCCAATGCAAGTTTAGCCAATTATATTTCAGCGCCTCGGGTTTCCTTGGTGGAGAACAGTGTATTTCATTCAGTCAGGAAGGCTCTCAAAGTGTGCATCCGCGAACTGGAGGACTGTAGCAGACTCTGAAATGAGAAGCAGATTCAGAGTTCCGCATTAATTGGTTATTAATTAGCAAATAATTTAAATTACTAACGTAAACATTAGGTGAACAGGTTGCTTTTGAACCGTGTCCTAACACCACACTATGTGAATTTGTCTGTTTGCACCAGACGAAAAACAACAGAAATGTAAATACAGGCATTCAGAAGCCCAGAATAGTGCACTCACTGCACTCCAACGAAATGGTAAGGTGTATGATCTAATTAATACATATTAAACCTCTAACATTATTAAATGTACATGCTGAATCACTGATCCTAAACTTCTCAAGTTGAATTTTAAACAGTTTATTCTATTTTCAATATCTGAGGTAAACTATCTGCTGCTGTTTTCAGTGGTATGACAATAAATGTCATTTAAAATGACATTAAAACTTACATTATTGGTATTTAACACTGATTAAAGCACATGAGGTGTACCTGAGGTGATCATTTTCATAGCTTTCGGTTGTTTGGCTGCAAGAAATAGAAGACATTTTTAAAATCTAAATTTCAGGAGTTGTTTAGAACAAAACGTCTTTTTACATGGAAAATATTCCTCCTATCGCGTGCTGTTGCTTTTATTTAGAACACTAATTAAATCTGCCTTAAATCAGCCTTTAGGCTTGATAGTCAGCCACACTTCTGTTGGTGTCGTCAATCTGGCAACATGTGCTTTTGCTTGTTTTGAACCTGGTGTACATTACCTAGTCCAAGCACTGGGTGTCAAACTTACATACTGTACCTTTAACATACAAAAGTATTTCAGGAAATCTGAGGCCATTTGTTTAAACTGCACACTACATTAGTTAGGGTTAAACAGAGTTTATGTGTTTGTGACATCTTGCAAAGCCCATCAGTTAAAAACCTCGCTTTTTTGTATAATTTCCAGTATTTAAGTGAAAAAATAATTAGAATTAATGTTTTGCTGCATGAAGGCTCATTCACAACAAACGCATCTTTGCTTCAAAAAATGTGAGACAAATTGGTTCAGAATAGTTTGAAAAAAAGCACAGCATAAATAACCAGGTTATCCTGACAGTCTTTGAGCACTTGTAAACAAAAACTTGCAACAAAACTCTGCCACTGAGTTCTTCTGATTAGTCCACTTCTGTGAAACTGACAGTGATGAGCTGCTCTGCATGTGAAAGTTGATGATCTGTCAACTTGACACAGCATCGGTAACGGTCACACATTTCCATCAAGCACTTTTTTATATTGAAAATTAAAACAAAGAAATTCATAAATATAGTCTCCATTAAACGCAGATATGTATATTAATTAATGAATATGTTATGTAATATGAAATTACATGTTTATTAATTTTCGATTTTATGAATTGAAATAGTGATTTTATTTTACTGTACAACTTTTAAAATAATAATGTATTGATGTATTAATTATAATAATAATCATTTGAGAGCTATATTTTTAAATAATAAATATGATTATTAATTTTAAATTTAATTATATTTATATAATATTATATACATTTAATAATATTATACAATTAATTAAATTTAGACATTTAATTATATTTTATATTTATATAAAATTAAATATTTATATAAAATTAAATATATATATAAAATTAAATTATATACCTATTATATATAATAATTAAATTTTTATATACGAAGTAAATTAATTCTATTACTATTTAAATATTATGCCAGGATGTAAATATGTTTGAAGTGCATTTTTTTATTTATTGAATAAAGTGAATTCATGTTGTTTTGACCTCAGGTGAAGCCCAGTCTGAGGAAGAGAAGGCCAAGAAGGAGTCTGGGAAACCGCAGGTGGATGAGATCGTGCCGGTCTACCGGCGGGACTGTCATGAAGAGGTGTATGCTGGGAGTCACCAGTATCCCGGCCGTGGTATATACTTACTCAAGTTCGACAACTCCTACTCGCTCTGGAGGTCTAAAACCGTCTACTACAGAGTTTATTACACCAGATAAGCCTGTCAAGACTGCAGGACAGGGACGTGTGTGTATGTTGAAAGGAAGTTGAAAAGATCAAAATAAGGACATTTACAAGAAGTCCACTACTGGGGGAGGGACAAAGAGATTTAAAATGAATGCTTGTATGTATGTATGTATGTATGTATGAATGAATGTATGTATGTATGTATGTATGGATGTGTGTGTGTGTGTGTGTGTGTGTATGCAAAATTTATGAGTGTGTCTGTCATGCTGTTTGAGTCCAGGAGGATTGAGCCTCTGTTTTGCACTCTAAAAGATTTTGTGCTTGATATCACTGTCCTTAAACTCAGCGTGACTAACTTCATCTTCTAATTTCATCCAAAGAGGTGCAGGACAATTGCGTGTATACTGATTAAAGCAACCTATGATTAGAGAACAGGCAACGGAGTAAACACTAACACCTTTCTCCTGGAGGACTCCCTCATTTAGGTCAACGCTGAGTAATTCAGCCAATGGCATGCTTCTGTACATTTTTCTCCCCCAAATCAGGATGCAGGACCGCAGTGTGGGATCAAAGAAACGGAACGGACTTTTCTAACAAAGGATCTGGAGGCCTTTAACGAATGGAGATTTTCTTTTTCTTTTTTTTTCTAAACAAGATGGATTGTGTCTAAAACATTTAATATTTATTAATCTCTGTGCTAGAGTAGGGTCATGTATGTGTCTGTCAGTCTTCTAACATTTATCTTGTCTCTTCATCGTTGGATTCTACGCTTCCACAGAGCCCCTCACTTTTATTTTTTCCTATTTCGTTTGTAGTCTTCGTTTGTAGTCTTTCGTTTGTAGAAGTATTGACTTTTAACCTGCACCGCTAATAGTTTGCGATACCCTTGCCTTTCAGTTGCGTCGTTTCTTTGCTTCATGCATGCAGTTACAAACAGCCATGAAAGAACTTGCGTTTCTATTTCTCACACTTGGTTCTTCACTTCAGTAACAAGCATCTCTCATCGTCCATTATATTAATAAAGAAGTGTTTGTATAGCCGATTGATACTAACTATCAAAGTCATTTACGTTTGCTGATTAACATGTTCTGTTATTTATTGGACTGTTCAGTGCATTGAAGAATATAACTGAAAATTTTGCGGACTGTATTTTTTAGTTTTTTTTTTTTTTGCTTCGGAGATATCTGCTAAGCCACTCTGGATTTGTCACTGGCTGTGTCGTCGAGTGAAATGTGTCGCGTTTATGATTGTACGTCAAAGACTGCTATCCGACTGTGATTAAACGTTGTCCATGTATATACGGATGCTGTTACACTGTGTTCACTTGATGAATAAAGAAAGCAGTGCGTTCGGGAGTTTCAGAGCTGATGATGATGATGATGATTCAGTGTTCATGGAGAAACAGTCATGCTAAAGCTGTCCAAAGACTACATCCATGTCACATGTACAGTCGATTGCTTACAGAAGTTTCTGTGTTGTGTGTTTGCTTTGTTTTTCACATTTTGTAATGCTGATTTCGGGCCTTTTGTATAGTGAAGTGTAACATCAGGCGGACAGCTTTTTGGGGAAAAAATGCAAGAAGCCGTTGGATGGTTCATCTGAAAAATTATCTTCATATTTAAAGTGGAAAAGCCAGTGATTTGTCAGAGCGTAAAGGCATGAAGTGTTTTTGTATTGGTTTCGCTAGTGTGATCTGATGTGTATGCATTCGAGGGTGAGTGTCTTGAAGCGTATATTTGATTAAACTTGCGTTCCTCTCTGTATGTATTCCTGCTGGGTTTTTTCTGATAATGGTTTAGTTATGGGCATGTTGTACATACCCTGATGATGTTTTGCAAAATGCTCATCATCAGTTAAGGTTACAGAATCCAGGCCCGTAGCCAACCTGGTGAAAGGGCAGGTTCTTTTTTTCTCACGTGGACCATTTTGCAGATATTCACCTCATTTTATATTTAATTACGAGTTTTAAATAGGTTGCATTTTTAGTGACATTTTAGGCTGGATTAGCTTGTCGGTTGGTATCATAACCACACTTTTTGATGTACCACAAACATTTTCTAGCGATTTAGAATGAGGAAAATATGAGGAACAATACTTTTGTTTTTTTTTTAAATATAAATTTACTACACCATATATCATTAGAAAAAGAAATGGGAATCTGATAGTATTAAAATCAAAAACTAGCCTATGGTCATTAAAATATTAATTTAAATTACAAACTGGCTAGCACATTCAACTTTCCTCAGTCACCCTGAAGCGACAGCATTTCGCTTGGTGTCAAAGCCTTCTTCCATGGATTATTTTCACGATGAAAATGCATGATGGCATAGCAGTCAAAATAGGACGAATGAGCTCATGTATGGGAAATATACTGGACCTTTGTCAGTAAGGGGTGGATCTTTTGAGCCACCTGAACCACCCCTGGCTACGGACCTGTAATCTAAGAGTTAATCAAATCAAATCTTTTACAATTTACAAAAATCTTTCTTGAATTGAGTCAGAAACCTATGAATTCTATCTACCCAAAGATTCACTGCCCTAGCTCATTCCCCTTGTTTACAGCAGAAATTTGCCAAAAAAAAGTTTTTTTTTTTAATCTTAATTAAATCAGACCATTAATTGTTTTAAATATCACTAATTTTAGTTTTCTAATATTTTACAAAGTGGCATTGTACTTAATGTTGTAAAAAATAAATATTACTCATAAATTCTAAAAGCTCATATGCCAATACCAGGATTTTACATTTTCAACTTAATCATACATAAAGCTATATGGTATGGTTTTGAGTAAAATACTGATATCATAGCACTTACAAATGTAAAATAAAGTTTTGTATTAGTAACTATTTTAATTGGTTGATTAAAATCATTTCACCCTGTGTTTATTTGCTATTTTATGCACAAGTAGGCTGTAAATTGCTACATTTTTATTGAAAATATGATTTGCAGTGTTGATTTTTTTTTTTTACTCAAAATATGTTATTTTTGTAAATATTGTAATTCAGAGCATTTTTTCTGGATAAAATAAGAAAAAAAATCAACGTTTAAGACCTGTTTATTATTATTTTTTTAATAATTATTGAATCTACTTAACTAACAAAGAGACTGTTGTGATGGTAGTTTAGAGCAGTTGTGACTCATCATCAGTGGAATCCTGTACGCCACAGAGGTCATGATTTTCCTATGCAAAAGGAAATTTCACAGGAAAATGAATGTTATCAGTCTGATCCAGAAATGATGCCTCAGCTAGTTCCATTGCCTTGAAAAAACACAGTTGATTTCCTTGTCACTGCAACAGCATCTCCAAAAAACATTTAATCGTAGCAGTTTTTACATACCAATAGATGGCGCTGTAGCGTTACTATATCCGTTTTGTTCCACTTTGTTGTCTTTACATAAGGGATTGATGCTATTAAATACAAGCTACTTATCATGTTCAGTTGAAGTCAGAATTATTAGCCCCCTGTTTTATTTTCCCCCAATTTCTGTTTAATGGAGAGAAGATTTCTTCAACACATTTCTAAGCATAATAGTTTTAATAACTCATTTCTAATAACTTATTAATTTTTTCTTTGCCATGATGACAGTAAACAATATTTGACTAGATATTTTTTAGACACTTCTATACAGCTTAAAGTGACATTTAAAGGCTTAACTAGGTTAATTAGTTTAACTAGTCAAGTTATGGTAATTAAGTTATTAACAATGTTTTGTTCTATAGACTATTGAAAAAAATAGTTTAAAGGGGCTAATCATTTTGACCTCAAAATAGTGTCTAAAAAATTAATAACTGCTTTTATTCTAACTGAAATAAAACAAAATAAAGACTTTCTCCAGAAGAACAGTCATACTGTAAAAATGTCCTTGCTCTGTTAAACATCATTTAGGAAATATTTAAAAAAGAAAAAAAATTCAAAGGGGGGCTAATAATTCTGACTTCAACTGTATATGATGTAATGCAATACACATGAGGCTAGGCTGGTTTACTGGGTAAGATTTTAGTTTAGTCGATTCTGTGTTATTACAGATTTATTAACAAAAATCAAGCACAAATTCTAAATCTAAGGACATTTTATCAAGTAAATCATTTGAATGTTAGTAACTCTCAATAAAAAGTTCTGCAAATTTTAGACAAATCCTTTGAGGTTTTAAAAGTTTTTAAAAAGTAAACATTTTTAAAAAGTCCTTAACACAGATGAAGGAGTTCAAGTATCTTGGGGTTTTGTTCATGAGATTGACATGAGATCAGTGCGGCAGCAGTGATGTGGTCGATGTACCGGTCCGTTGTGGCAAAGAAGGAGCTGATCTGAAAGACAAGGCTCTCGATTTACTGGTCTACGTTCCTACTATCACCTATGGTCATGAGCTTTGGGTCATGACCAAATGGACAAAATCTCAGATACAAGCGGCCGAAATGAGTTTCCCTCGCATAGTGACAGGGTGAGGAGCTCTGCCACCCGGAAGGAGCTCAGAGTAAAGCCGCAGCTCCTCCACATCGAGAGAAGTCAGCTGAGGTGGCTTGGGCATCTGTTCCTGATGCCTTACCTATAGAGGTGTTCCAGGCATGTCCCACCAAGAGGAGGCCTCAGGGAATACCCAGGACACGCTGGAGGGACTATGTCTCTTGCCTGGCCTGGGAACGCCTCTGGAAATCTCCCCCCTCTCCTGTGGAATTCATTACAGTTAAAGGTTACATTTTCTGATTCCATAATTTTTCAATAAATAATTTACAACTGTAAAAAAGAATTGTGGTAAAGATCTACTGTGAATAAAGTAGAGAAAAAGGCCTGTTTATATCTTGATATTTAGGCTAGTGTTTATTTTAATACTTGTTTGATCATTTGTAAAGTATTTAGTCAAACCAGGCTTATTAATTATTTTTAAACACTGTGATTCATTCATTTTCTTTTCGGCTTAGTCCCTTTAATAATCTGGGGTCGCCACAGTGGAATGAACCGCCACACTGTGATTCATTATTTTAATGCATTCTCTGTTTGAATTCCACTATTGCTAAAACATATAAAACATGTACATCTTTGTCATTTAAAGTGTTAAAAATAGTATATATGTAAATGCCAATATTTGTAAACATAAGTTGCATATATGACATATGTGCAATCCAAACATGAACTTATCTCATTATTAATTTTGCATATATTGTCACATATCAGATTTCTACATGACCTACTACTTTATATGAAGTGTTGCAAAACATTTAATTACACCTTTGTTTTTTTAATCCTTTCAAAAGTGGTGTGTAAAATATTAATACTGAAAGCATTCCGTATTCATCCGGTGAAGCACCCATACAAAATCTCCATCCCGGGTTTTCCACGCAGCCAGTGCTAAATGCAGGTAACCTCTCCCTCTCAAAGCGAGGCGGATCCGACAATCCAGTTCCAGCTTCCACAGGTGGTTAGGAGCATTCTCCGTGTTTTCCATATACTTTCTCCACTTTTTCGGCTCGGCTCAGTGCTTGTGCTTTCAAAAGCATGTACCCCGATGCTCCCGAACAACACCGAGCGCAACGTCCCGGGCTGCTTCTGCATCTTTCAAAAATTATGGCGGGACCTTTTGTAAACAGACCACCTTCTTGCGGCAACTTCTGGGACACGTCGTTTGGATTTTAGACAACTTCTTTTACCCGATGCTCGCTTCAGATTTGAACAGGATTTAAAATGCCGTTTCCCGAGAGAGCCGTTGAGCCTCAGCTGCTGTGCCGGTTGAGGGGGAGCGATGGACCCGAGAAGAGCTTTATAACACCGGACGGTCGCAAAGTTCGCAAACCGGTTTTGTTTTCCTCTCTGGAGGAAGTTTGTTGTCATACGTTCACCAGCATCCTACATCAGCTGTCCGATCTATCCCGACACGCCAGTGACATATTCCTGGGAATTGAGACTCAAGCTGGGCTAATCTCGCACAGGACATCGAGGATTCAAGCGCGTTTGGAGAGGATACAGCACACCGTTCAAACGCTCGATCCCAAATCGGTTAAAATACGTAAGTTAACCATGTCACTTTACTTGTTGCCCGCATAAATATTTAGTGACGCATTTCTGACGTCAACTTAAGGTAATAAACATACACACGACCATATAAGTTCCAGTATATCCATATTTCAACAATTATTAAACACTGACTTAAGTATGCCGGCTAATCACTTATTGATTTAACTTTAAATGATAAGCTCTTATGCTAATGTTGATTCAGAAGAACACGTTTATTGAATGTTAAATGTCCACTCGAAATTAACTATGGATTGGGTCTGTTAGATAAAAGGCGAGTGTGAGTGTTATGGGACAGAAGCAGAACACATGGAGCTGTGTTGGTGTAATTGAGGTGAGGTGAAGAGAAAGCAGTTTCCCTTAAGGGCCGAAGTCCTGTCAAATGTGATAGATCTGCTTTAACGTACCATCTGCGCCCACCAACACCCCCATAGCAGCAAACTACGCAGAAAGACAGCCCACCTTCATTAGGGTGCATAGATATGAAGAAATGTATGCAGCAATGGATGCGACAAATTAGTCAAAGTGACAATTAGCAGTGTTACAATTACACATTTTCTAGTATTTGGTGTTTTTTTTACTTAGGGATTCTATTCATCAGATTATTAGGGGAAAAGTGTAAATATTTCTAAATAAAATATTAAAAGTGCATGATTGTAATTAGAAATGTTTATTGAGCCACAAATCAGCTGAAAAGTCAGATTGGTCATTTCAGCAATAAATTGCTTTTAAATTATTCTACAATAAAATGGTGTATG